TTGTGTTCGTCATCTTGGTGAATTACTGGAAGATGGCGGTTCCGGCCGAAAGGAAGGCCCCATTGTGTTTTCAGGATTTCGAGTTAACATGACGAGATCTCTTGTGCTTAGTGTCTATGGCGGACATTCCCAGGCCAGTCCTCGGGACCAGAGGGCTTGGGGTCCTTGACATAGACCAGGGGTCTGCCTTATCCCCCCACACGGTCACAGCCTGAATAATAAGGAGCGTAGGCTACAGTACCCGGGGCACCTCGAGCGATTGCTGTGGGGCCTCCGTCTGTTCTGTCAGAGCAGGTCGCGTTCGCTTCTCGTGTGAAGTAGCTTCTCTGGGGCACCTGCATCCGTTTCCTGGCATCTGTGGTATGATCCTCTGTTCTTCTGCATCATTTTATCTTTACTTTTCATTGTCTACTGACAGACTCTGGCGAAAAAGATGACCGTCCTGTATAAGCTGGCCCGGGAGCAACTCTCCAAGCAGTACCACTATGACTTTGGGCTCCGAGCCCTGAAGTCGGTGCTGGTCATGGCTGGTGAGCTGAAGAGGGGCTCCTCTGAGCTCAGGGAGGTAAGCCACGTGCTCGGCTGCTCTCTGGCTTCACTCGGGCATGCGCATTTAGCAGATGTTGGGATGAGGTGATGGGTCCAGGACAGTCCTCAGTGGAGTCTCAGTCTTTTTTTTTTTTTTTTTTAAGCTTTTGCCACAGGGCGTGTGCATTGGCCAGAGAGAGACAGACAGAAGGAAAGTGAGAAATCACCACCTCCCACCCGAGGGGATGCCCACACCACAGTCCCTTCTCCATTATCCTCTCAAGATCTTGGGCACACACACACATGCACCTGGCTTGATTTTCAAGTCACTGGGTCGAGGATTCAAACTGTGGTTGGCCATGTGGGAGTCTAGCGCCTTAGCCACCAGGCCACCTGCTGGCCCCGTAAAATTTCAGTCTTAACTGTCACCTCACGTTGTCTGGCCTTACTTTGCTCCCATCCTGTATCGTTTCCTCTACTTAGACGTCCTACTTACGGTGAGCTCCATGTTCTCACACAGCGCCGGCGTTTACGGTGCTCTGCCTGTCAGTGTCCCTCTGTAACCTCTGGGTGAGTGGGACGGGAGGTGGGACAACCAGAATGCTCACGGAACCACGAATGTGTTTTTATCTTCTCTTCCTACAAAAGCGAGAGAACTGATCATCTTTCTTCTTCCCTTCCCTTCCCCTCCCTTCCCTTCCCTTCCCTTCCCTTCCCTTCCCTTCCCTTCGTCCTTCTTTCCCTCTCTCTGTCTCCCCTCTCCTCCCCTCCCTCCCTCCCTCCATTTGTTTGTTCTTTCTTTCTTTTTTGTTATTTGCCATAGGACATGTGCCATTCGCTAGAGAGACACAGAGAAAGACGACAGAAAGAGAGAAATCACCCCTCCGGGAGGATGGCCACACCACAATCTCTTCTCCTCCATTCTCATCTGGGACTTTGGCGTGTAGGCACAGTACAATTTCCAGACCATCGGGTCCAGGACTCAAACCACTGTCAGCCTTGTGGGAACCCAGCGCCTTGACCACTACGCCACCTGCTGGCTCTGATCATGTTTCTCTTACACAAGACTCAGAGTGAGTTCAGTCAGTGTGGTTCTGTGGGCAACAAGCTCACGTATTTCTCTAGAGACCGTACTCATCATGTCTTACATTTTATTTAATTTTAGTTTTTACATAAAATTTTATTATTTTATACTTTGTTTTGGTGTATTCCATTTTGGATTTGTTTTTTCTTATGAAATTTTGAAAAACAAGATGAATGTTTTATTTTACGGAATTTTTTCTTTTCATTTTAATTAAAATTTTACATAAAAACTTTTTATAGAAATACAGAATTTAGACATTTTATGATATGTTTATATATTAAATGCATATGATTAAAATATGTCATTTTAATGTCGAAATGTCATTTTACATTTCATAAGAGGGTTGCAGACTAGTGCTTGGGACGTGTCAGCGGGACGGGAGGGACGCGGGGAATGTGCGTGTCGTTGTAGGATGTGGTGCTGATGCGGGCCCTGCGGGACATGAACCTGCCCAAGTTTGTGTTCGAAGACGTCCCTCTTTTCCTGGGTTTGATTTCCGACCTGTTTCCTGGGTTGGACTGCCCTCGCGTCCGCTACCCTGACTTCAACGGCGCAGTGGAGCAGGTGCTGGAGGAAAGTGGCTATGTCGTCCTACCTGTTCAGGTAATGGTGCAGGGAAGGAGCCCTCGCTGTGACCTCAGGCCTTTGAAGTTGCCTTTTCATTAAAAAAAAGAAAGAAAAGAAAAGGCAAAATGTGCATAGCATAAATTTTTACTACTGTAACCCTTTCCCTCCCATTTAAAAAGTTGTGATGAAACACACCTAACATAAAGTTAAACTTTGCCTCTCTCTCTTTACTCCAGTGAGCGCCCGGGCCCTAGAGCAAAAAAAAAAAAAAAAAAAAAGAAAAGAAAAAGTCCAGATGTGAAAGATTACATATTGTAGGATTCCACTTACATGAAATGCCCAGAATAAGCAAATCCATAAAAACAGACAATAGGTTAGGGGTTGCCAGAGGTTGAGAGGAAATGGAAATGGGATTGGGGGAGATGGATAATGGATACAGAGGATTCCTTTATGGAAAGGGGTGACAGTATCCTAAAATTGATTGTGGTGATGGTCATATAACTCTGAGATTATACTAAAAACATTGGATTGTACACTTCAAATGGCTGAATTGTGTGGTGTGTGAATTGTATATTAATAAAACTGTTTAAGAAAGAGATATGACTTAACTGAGCTGCCAATGTTTGCCCTGTAGGTGGATAAAGTGGTTCAAATGTTTGAGACCATGCTAACCCGCCACACGACAATGGTGGTGGGGCCCACAGGAGGTGGCAAGTCAGTGGTCATTAATGCTCTGTGTCAGGCCCAGACCAAGTGAGTATGAACTCGGGGTGGGGGAGAGAGGAGGCTTGGTTGTCAAGATAGTTTCATGCTAATTGTTTGGTGACAGCACTACGTGCTCCCACTCTGCTGTCTGATTTTCGGGGGGGGGGGGGGGAAATTTGTTCCAAACACTCCTT